CACACACACACACACACACACACACACACACACACACACACACACACACACACACACACACATAGACACACACACACATACATACACTTATATACAATGTATCGCGTACTCGTTTGCGATCCATACCTTTTGACGATACATAATTTGCTCAATCTGTATTGACATTACAGAAGGTATGTTAAAAACTGTTCGGGATTATTCATCTAACGTGAATTTCAGAAATTTCATGAATTTTAGGAATTTTAGGTTTGAGAAGATAGGTTTAATAAACTGACCCACTAACCAATGAGATACCAAAATGATTGTTGAGATGCAGGTGGTAGGAATGTAAACTATCTTTGAGTAGTCAATGAAAGGAACAAGAGAGCAAAATTTGTTGATTCATTAGTCATTAACTTTCCTTTTGAAACTTGATAATGAGAGGGGATTAGGTACAAGCAAGCTAGTGAGATGGCTTTGGTAAGTGATAAAAAAAACTGATTACGCATGAGGATCGGAAAGGAATGTTGTTGAAATGTGTTTTGAACTTTATCAGACCAATTACTTAAACTATTTTTTCTCATTTCGAAATACAAATTATTTTCCGGAAGTCTGTAGAAACGACGGCAATCTGCCAACAAACAAAGCAGAATTGAAATTAGAAATTAATTAGTACATTTCACCTAATTTTATTTTCTTCCCTGTTATGCCTTTCAACTGTTATGCTTTGTACTTTTGCTACCAATTAGAATAGTGCTAGTCTTGTCACCTGCTAATTACAATGTGCTAACTAGAAATTGCTAATGTGAAGAAACTGTTTGGTTACTCTTGACTAGTAAATAACTTTAATCTTGAACATAAAGTTTTTCATGACTTTTGCTACTTGCAAATAGTATTTTAACTTAATTTGTGAGCAAAACTGACGAAAATATATTGGGATCCCTTTATTTCTTATTCGTTATCATATTACCTATTAAAACATTTTCAAATTTAAAATTGCCTTGACTGTTGTTTCTTAAGGGTGACATTGCTCAAAAGATAGTAGAAGACAAGAAATGAAACATTATAAAATCAGAAGAACCGAAAAACAGTTAGATTTTTAGACGTGGTACAGAAGATCCTGTTATGAAAATGTAATTTAAATGAATTTATGAAAAAGAAAGTTTCAACGGTTCAATTCCAATTTCAATACAACAATTCTCAAGGATGATTCTAAAAGAAACATGAAATATTCCATTTAAAAGTTTTCCGGTTTGCAAAAACTGATTTATTTTAACATTTCGGCATTTGGTGAACAGTTTATTTTCTTCCATTGCTTTCTTCTTAATTTATCCTTTTTTAGGCAAAATTTACTAGTCCTCAAGGCTTTCTTTTCTTGTATTTGAGGCTATTTATTCCGTCCTATTAGACAAATTCTTATTTAAACCTTCTAATTATCCTTAGTACTATCCATATTTGTATTAGTATGACTACAGGTTGCAATTCAATCCTATTATTCATAAAGTGCATTAGAGTACTTACTTTATTATTCGGGTTTATTAATTTTTAAATTAAACTTTCGAAAAAGTGTCATAATTTAAAAAGATGAAATTTCTTTTTGAATTTCAGCAAAATAACTTAATTTGTAAAACGATAACAATTGTCACATTACATAACAATTTGCGCACAATCGGAAGGGGGCGAGTAAGGTATGGCTGGTGACCAGAAGATCACAACTACTGCTAGTAATGAGAATTATACTGAAAATCAACAAAAATTGAAGTGTAACGATCGAAAACGCAAGCAAATTACTAATATATCATCGGTTAGAAGGTTGAAATCATCGAACTGAAATAAATGCAATACAAATCGATCCATTCAACAAGATTTATCCATGCAAAAAATTATTCAGTATTATCAAATTTTTGTGAAAAATTTTAGAATTTAAGATTAAAATTGAAAATTTGAAATTGAAAATTTATTTGAAAATATTTTTGAAATGTTTCTAAACTTTAAGAAATTAATTTTCATTTGAGAGACAAAATCGAAATTCTAAAATTCGTGCACTGTCGGATAATGCAGACGAAGTGATTGCAATGGAATACGATACATCATTGTCTGCCTTACAGAAACTACCAATGATTTTATTATCACAAATTGCATCTAACTTAAATATTCGTGAACAAAAAAATTCGCTGATACTTGTAGAGCTGCTAGATTGGTAAGGGATTTGTTCGGTACAAATCATTTGATTAAATATTATTTAATTACTAATATTTGTATGAAAATGCATTCTGGCAATATGGCTAATGTTTTCTTGAGTTTTATATCAAATCAATATGTTACAGGCCACAAAACTATACTGGGATACACGTACCGATCTTCATATCGGTGATCTAATGAGACAAACTTTCCCATTTATCAATCAGAAGAATCGATATTCATTGCATGCTATACGTAGAGAACTTAGTCTTATGCTACGTCTAATACCTAATTTTGCGTTACGCAAACTTCATTTTCAACCTATTTATTTGCTACATTTGCAGGATTTGCAAGATATTGAAATTCGTACGAAAAAGTTTGTTTTCTTCCAATTTCACCAGTATATTTCAAAGTGAAACTCTGAAATATTTTCAAATTTTCAAAAAAAAAATGAAAAAATGGAAAAGTTAAGGTTTGTCATAGATAAAATACGGCTTAAAGTGAAGATGAACAGAAATAGTCAACTGATTTTCTTCCATTCATGACAAGAGTGTGAGATGTAAAGCGTGCGCTCCTGGCACCACTTATCATTTCAATCATCAAATCATTCTCTCCATTCTATTTAATAACTAAGCTGTAGTTTAAGCATCGTTTATCATTACGAAGCTTACGAAAATGAATTCCTAAACGTCTTGTCTATTAATTATTCTCTTACCGCCCAAATGGAATTCCCAAACTTTTAAATCAATCAACAATATCTTAACATTCTTGTGCTAATTATGATTGAAATTTGAGATCTGCGAAACAAATTTACGGTGCGGTAAAACATTTGGATTTGCGCGGTTGTTCAGTGGAATATGGTGAATTGCTATATTTCTCGAATGCATGCACCAAACTGTCATCAATTGCAATCACGCATGCTGCTGTATTTCTGCCAAATGAATTATTCATAGATGATGATTGTACAAAGTAATAAAGTTATAGAGAAACTTTTTCTTAGACTGTAATGGTACATTAATTATCAATCTAATCATTAGGTGGTTTTGTTTCAGACAGAATAAATCGGAACAGCGTCCGTTCGGAAGAATTCGTGATTTCCTTCGTATATCGCTTCCAAACTTTACGGAAATGGAAAAAAAAGGGGAGCTTCCGGTAGCTCATATTGAATTGCTTGTTAAGTTACTCATGTTATTTCCATATCTTGAAACTTTCTATATCGATTAAATGGGAGCAAATTCAATCTGTAATATCCGTATTCGGTCTTTATTTGGTTATAAGATATTGATTTGCAATTAATAAAAATTTAACATCACACTATAAAACATATTTTTACGCTTTACGTATATTGATCCGGTAAATCTACTCATACCATTGATGCCATCTCACATTTGTCAACGTTAATTAAAACGTAGTCCCTTTTGAAGTCATGTCTTATTTGAAAACTAATGAAGCACCTATATGTCAAAAATAATATTTATAATAATATTTAAAAATAATATTTAATGTCAAGAATAATATTTATTATTTTTAAACTTAATACTACAGTTATAGCTACTAAATGGTCCTTACAATGCTAGCAATAATTCATTGAGCATTATATCGTTTATCAATATAAGAACCATAAGAAGTCCTAAAAAACCATGTCATACCATACCAGGAAGTATTCTCTCATATCGTTGATAACTCGTTCTAAAGTACCTTGTAAATGATTCAAACATTCATTTGTTTTACTTCAAAACAAATTTTTATTTCTTTTTTTGCTAGATTTAATTAATTTTTACTGGTTTAAACAAACTATTATTGCTTTCAAGAGCTATTTTCGAGTTGAAAACCTTCTAAGTACGCCAATTGCTACGAGTCAACTAATGTCGTAGACAGTTTTCCTGTTTTTTCTTTTTCTGCTTGTGACAAAGATTGAAAGGGTTAATTCTGTCTCTTTGATATTTAATTTTTTTTTCCCCTTCTCATATACCTTTATTACGATAAATTTAGTTAATACAATAACAAATTTAGCAATTACGGCTTCAATATCACGAATTAATGATGATAGCAATTGTGAAAGAGAAACCCAATGACGCTTGATATCGTTTATTCAACTAATTTCGTGCATGTATTTCTACGTTGATGTATTTTCTATGATTTCTCTTTAGTGGATATCCTTTCAGAAATGATTTTGGTGCTCAGCACCCTCTACTTCATTGGATAAGGGAAGATCCTGGTACAATTCTCAGGTCAAGAGGTCAGCTCTGAGGTCATAAAAATTACCACCTTTACCAGAGCACGCAGATACAATGGATGTACAATTTTAGCTTACACTGTACAGTATATCCACACATACTGCATATTATATTATACCCAACGATATCAAATCAACAACAATGGAATTGTTATTTCACTGCTTCTTCTCACGATTTCAGCGACACCTGTCATCAATTCCAGTCTGCGGCATTCCTCTTTGACGTTTTAATGTATTAGTAATGATGAGTGCTATCAAGTTTTTTTCCGATGATTCATTGGCAAAACTGTTTATCAAGATGTTGCTAGGAAGATGTCACAAATCATCTTGTTATGATAAGAATTTTGATAATGAGTCAGGATAAAGGAAAAGAAACCTTACGTTAACATTGAGGGTTAATGATCGATTAATCCTCATGCTGTATTTTTACAAACATTGCTCATTAGGTCGCAAAAGAAAAATCTTCAAGTTCAACGATGACTCATTACGTTTAGAATAAGGAAAATATGTAAAGCGGAAAACATTGGAATTGTAAAGTTTCCTAGAAACTTTTTTTTTAATCAGTAATTTAGGGTTTCAATATGCATCAGATAAGTACGCCAAATGGAAATTAGACAGGATTGCTGTGATTACCGTAAATTTGATGTTTACTTTCTTCATCTAGTATCTTTTTTAAAAATGAAATGCTTGAAAGATCATTTTCACAGTTCTTTATTCTAAAATTGAAAATACAACACTTCCATTACTGTAAGTAAGCAAGACCAAAAAATAACCATAAATTTTGTTTTTAAATTTCGACTGAACTACGAAACGAAACTCGTTGATTATCAAAATGAAAGAATTTTGCATTTTATTATTGCTAATGATCTAATGATGACTGGTAAGTTTCCAATGCAATTTTCTTATGAAGAAAAAAGATTTCTTAAGAATTCCTATTTTCTGCCTCGAAACCATACAAAAAAAAAACCTATCTGTTGGAAGCTAATGGAATCTCAACATCGATACTAATCTCTTTCTTGCTATACATAGGAAGGAAATCCATCATTTACCCGAAATTATAGGATGCCTCGAAGGGAAATTTATTATTTTCCGGACATTATTAATATGTCAGATTCCAATTTCAGTAACTACTGACTCTAAATTACTGGCTATTATTACCATTTCTTCATTACTGCTTACAACTGCATTATCAATTATTGATTATACAGTAATTGATGTGAGTAATGTGTGACGAAACCCAACATATCCTGCATTTTTATCCGGAAATCTTGTTTCATCTGAAAGGAAATCGTCATGTTAAAGTTTAAATTTCCATCTCCACCAATTTTTGATACCAAAAACTTTCCAGCACTTGTTTTATTATGATTAAAAGAAGAAAACTCTATTCTGGATAAAAGTCAAACCTTACAGTATCATCCTTTGTTTTGAATTTTATCAGATCAGTGTTTTTCAATCAGGTAAGGGACGAAGATATCACGTTAACGATAAGCTCAGGAAATGAATCGAATTATAATCAATCAAAAAGACAACCATTTGCTTATCATCATCATCATTTCTATAAGGTTATGAAAGATTATTTCTTGCAATTGAAACGATTAATCTATGTAAGGCTGAAAAAAACTCAACCCAATGCAATCGATGGTGCTATCGAATTCCAATCATGGACATTGTAAGTTCATGCATATTGCAATCAAATTCTATCACTAATCGTTGCCTTAAGTAAGGCATCACATCAATTAGCTCTTGCAAGTGTATTTCCCAAATACTTCATTATGATTTCAGGTCACTACTATCTGTGATAATAATATCATTCGTATTCATTTGCTGCTTCATACCACTCCTTATCTGTTTAGCATGCAAGCTACTTGGATGTTGCGCATGCATCAGCTGCAGAGCATGTTTGTAAAGAAAAACAAAAAAACTGTAACTAAGAGGGAATTGACTACCATATCGCATCTCAATTTCCCCATTTCTATAGTATAGTGTTCAGCCAAAAAGTAGCAGTTTAAGGTGGAACAGATGATTAAGGTTGTAAGAGAGGAAACGAGAAATGAAATATCGCAGATCTATGTATCGCATTGGCGGAGCGCTTTGTGGGTACATCTCTTCTTTGGCAGATCTCTACCCTGCAACACACACCTGATGAATAAACAAACGCAATGGAAACAGACAGAAGAGTATCCTCAAAGTCAACCTTTATAAGTCTGTTGTTATAATGACCTTTGGAAACAATGTTACCCATATGATGAATTCCCACCCATAAATTTATCCCTGCACGTGCTTTCAAAAGCGATGAAAAAGAGGATGATAAAACGGGATAAGTGAGCAAACAAACATTAGCTGTAGTTCAGAGCAATAGTTTGCAAATTTTAACGAAAAATGAATAACTAAAACGAGGTGTGTAACTTTGGAACATATTTTATCTTCATACCTTCTGAAAACCAATCGCTATCAATCATCTTCACAGCCTCATTTTCTTTCGAGTCTAAGCCAATGGCTGATAGTATTACATATGCAAATCTCACATCTATCATTGATAAAAGTAACCAAGAAATATTTATTAGTCAATAAAAATTTCAATGCATAAAGATTGCCACTTTTCCAGCATCATTTACAGAAAACAACGTTTAAAAAACAATTATGTAACCTGGAAAGAGTTAGGATAAATGAAAGCAACCCAGTAATTTCAAATGTATTTAAAGTTCAGATGCGGTGATATGTTTTAAGTTCAGAACAAAAGCAGTTCTATACAAAGCCATCTTATCCATGGATGTTGTTTATGCTTTTTAATTTTTACAGAAACAAGATAGAAGTCCCGTTTAATATCGCAATGATGACAGCAAACAGAAGTTCAAAGTAAAAAGGAAAATTTTTGAAATGATCTCCGCAAATTTTTAAAGCAAAGCAGTGTTTTACTCTTTTTTCTCTGCCATATACTGCTTCAGCAAAGCATCTACTTTTGTAATCGCTGGATCCAAAAATCGATCGTATAGAACTATCGCACCATAGGTCTGCGGTAGATAAAGGTAGAGCATAAATAACGCCTTAAAAAAGCTCATTTTGTATGTTAACTCCTGTGGGTAAACATATAACACTAATAAAATACTGCAGTAGTTAGATATTAAGCAATTGAATTCGTCATCTATTAAAATAATCTTGCAACTAATTCGCCATTTATTAAAACAACTAAAAATAAAAAAATAACCTTGCAAAAAGTAATCCTTACAACTATACTTTTTTTTCAGTTAAACTGGATTACGGTAAAACGCGCCTGGATTACGGTCAATAAGTAGAATGAGTAGCATTTACGGTATATTTGGTACTTTAGGAACACTTGGAATAAATTCCTCTCATATGAGCACAGAAATTTGGATGCCTTTACTGTGAAACACAATCTGACCTTGAGGATCCAATAAACGGGAAAATAGTACAACATTAATTCGGCAAAGAAATCAACCAACGAAAAAGCTGCGAATACTGTCCAGTAGATAAGCCAGTGGGTGTCATCATCCTTTTGAGCGGTTCGAATGGCCTAAAACGATCTTTTTACCAGTGGGAATATTTTACATCCATTTTTATTTCAAGTTTTCAAGATAAAACATCTAAATATCCTTGTCAGTGAAATTCAACACAACTCAAAATTGGCTGATCTAATTCAGAATCGCCTTCCTCATGGAAAATCCAACGCAAATACTGAAACTACTGAAACTTGCCCTGAACTTCTTTCAAACTCTCTTACACTTCAGCTATTAAGTTGCCCATATTTCCCAATCTTCGCCGGAACAGTTTTAAATCTGATGACCTTGTTTCTCGAAGGAGCACAGTTGGGAAAGAGAAAGGTGGTTCTCCCATGAACAACTACGAAATATGGTAAATGAAGTGGTACAATTTAAGCGGTCTTCAAGCTAACGCCTACCTTGACAGAAGCATATGCCGGATATGCGAAACCAATAATATTACATAACAATCTAGCGAATGCTCCAAATACCATGTACAATCCAGCAAGGGCAATAACAGCATAAGCTATCTAAAATCTTCAGAAATTTTCAGTGTGATATGTTACATCAGCTGCTGAAAAAATTATTATAGAGCATAAGTTCATGCCTAGGACTGTAATAAAGGCTTACGTTTGCTAGAAATATGAAATATTTCTTTCCTGGAAAAGAAACATTACATTAGCTAATCTAGATCCTTGACATTTAATGTTGACAACAATGTTTAAATGCTAATAAAATCATTATTTAAACACTAATAAAATCACTGTTTAAATGCTATGGACTCATCAACTTATCATAATCACGACAGAGTAGGATCACAGTGCAGAGATTTCATCCAGAGATGATAAGGTGATACGTAATGTAAAAAACAAAAAAAAGCAAGTAAACATGTGAGCAGTGAAACTGTCATGCAAAACAAATAAAAAAAGATATTTGGATATGACGAGACTGCATTATGAAGAACAGATTTTATGGACTGGGTTTTGATCTTGTTAACCATGATTTTACTGTCAAATTAAACTAGCTGGATCATGGAAACATACAGTCATCGTCTAGAAAAAAAACGGTCAACACAAGATACTTCCGTTCATAATCTCCAATCAAGGAATCCTAAACTCAGAATGCGATGATTACGAAATATTGCGTTATCAGCGTATGCCGTGCACAACTATTTGCAGTTCATTGCTCGATGTTTAGACGAACAGCGCAAAATTGTAATTTACTAGATACATGGACGGGTGAAAAAAAAAGGAATTTCATGCGGTATCCATAAAAACAAAAGAAATTCATGGGATAATTAATAAAAATGATGTTCTGCGAAGAACGAACGGTTATGGCAACAGCTTATTCCGCTGTCCAAAATATTGCGAACTAATAGCGGTTAACAAATCCTAGCTTGAGGTTTGCGAAGAAATTGACTTTATATATAAAGTCTTTTAAAATTCCTAATGAAACTGACCTTCATACTCTTTCTTCAAAAACAAAAATATGGTATCACAACAAAAAAAATCTGTGATGAGCACATTTCCCATCATTTATTTTATTTATATTATGCCGGGAATCTGACCCACATATGTGAGGAAGGTTGAAATAATCGCTAAGCGATCACTGTTCCCTTTATCCATAAATGATTATTTTTGAGAACATTTATCAAGATCACCTTTTCTCGTTCCAAATGTGTTTTTTGTTCTAACTGTTGAAATGCCTGATCAACTGCTTTGTTGTCTTTCGGATATAGCAGATTGTGGAAAACTATTTTCAAATCAGCCAGCGAGTTGATTACTACTCCTTTACCTCTAATATCACGTTTCTGTTGTGGCCACTGATCGCCACTCGCCACTTCCAATATTTTTGTGCTTTCCGACTGCTTATCCATGACTGCAAAAAGAAAAACTGTGATTTTGAACCAATTAAAAGAAAAAAAGTATACTTCAAGCATTTCTCGCAGCAAAACACCTAAGCACACTTCAGCTAAACTCAAGCGAAATCTATCCGGAAATGTATATGTCTATTCGAGACTTTTATTTTCAATATCTCTGAAAAGAAAGTCCCTTTCAAACATTTGCATCTGTGAACATGCAAGTGAAGATTCTACGCAAATACTTGAGCATAATTAAATTGAAAGGTCAAAATTCACATAAAAATAAAGCCGACCGTGAAACAAATTTAAAAAGCAATATGTAAAAATATGTAAGATCCACTTTTTAAAGAATATATAAGATCTCAGCAATATGTAAGATCCATTTATTGAAATAAATTTAACGTATCACATATAAACAATAATCATTAAACTCGAATTACTTTAGAGTTAGCAAATTATACCAGTTTCAAAACTAAATTTTGCAAAATTATATCAGATAATGCTACCACTTACTGTTCACCATACATGATCCATCTGAAGCCATAAAATTCTAAACTATATTTCCTTTAGAATGCATGCAAAATGATGATTCCTGAGGAGTATTTCTAAGAAAGGTTTTAGAACAAATGCTTGACAGCCCAGCCCCCATTACGAAGACATATCTCTGAAAACACCAAATAAATTGTCTCTAAAGCCACTGTAAGATTGATTTGTGAAACGCCTGGATTTCCTTCTAAATTATTTCAGTCCATCTAATAGCTCCCATTTCCGTGAAAACTACGCTCCAGTCATTTGCCATTAATTTGAAATTATATACAAAAGAGAATAAAACTGCCCTTCGATAATCCTAATAGTTGGATATTGCCACCGACCTTATCAATAACTAACACAGATAATATTTCATCACTACTGTTTACATGGGTTAATCGAAAAGATTTCTAGCAGGTACGAATTTCTTCATCGAATATACATCTTTTATACCAAGAGCAATAAATTTAATGACAATTCTGCATTAAACATTTATAGAAGGAAGAGGATATTAAAGAATTCGAGAAGTTTCTCTCATTTCGATAACTGTAGCTAAAGTTGCACCTAAGTTCTTTATAATATTCCGACAATTGTAAGATTGATTAACAAATTGAAAAAGTTTACAATAAACATCAACTTTGTCTGCAACATATAAACATTGCAATTAAAATTGATTAGAAAATTGGAAGAGTTAGATTTGGACAAATGGTTCATCACTTTAGTTATCGAAAATATTTATTAATTTCGTGTAATGAATCATTTATCTGAGAATATTCTGAATTCTAATGAAAACCACTTATAACATTTTCTTGGCTTCGCGACATTTGTTGCATTGATAATGTAGGAATGTTGAGATGAACTTATGTGCAAATATCGAAATTTTATAAAGAGCCTCTAGGCTGGCAGTTAAACCAATGTATCTGGTCTGCTGAGCCACTTGTTATTATAAAAATACCTAGGATCAATCATCTCGACGAGTAGTTACAAAGCAGTCACTCATTCCAACATCTGCAGTTCCGCAGTCCGATAGCTCGTTGAGCTCACGCAGGCGTTCAAGGAGACAGCACAGTCAGGCACTGAATCACGACAACGGTTCAACGGCAGAGAGGCGGCAATATGACAGTTCAACAGCACGAACGATAACACCGCTTGGTATCCTTTAATACTTATTGTGTACTATTCATTTCGTCCCCATCACTGTTTCAGTACGATATTGTATCATATCGTATAAGACCAATAAAGGTTACTATTAACATTGCGGAGTTAAAAACAACAAAAATAAACCTACAAGATCTTTCCCCGACAACAAGATGTGAAATAGTTCGATAAATAAATATTTTCTCAACTTTAAACCCCACTAAACAATACTATTATTTCATCGTATAGCCATTTAAGGCTCCAACATTATATCTTTAAATCCTTAATTACTATTCACCTTCAGCTCGGATAAGTGAACCTTCTCAGTCCTTATCCATACTACTATACTACCCACAAAATTTTGTTATTAATTAGTATCAAATACACTATGGCGGAGAGTGTCATTATAGTCAACAAATACAAATACAGCATAGATCATCGAAAGAGAAAGAGTTAAACAACAACTAATTCCTTTTTTATGATATGTGAATGATAGGAAGTGAACAGTCAACAGCTAATCTAACTATTCACTAGAACCGAGTATGCTTACAAAAGCAGTGAGATGAAGTGACAAGCAGTTGAAAGCAACAACAATCAATAACAACGACAACAATCATAGGACATGGATTTCGAGGGGACGAGCGCACTTGTATAAATGTGCGCTCACATACATACATACACACACACACACACACACACACACACAGCCATCATCAACATGCATTATGCAATATGCATACATAGTAGACACCACCGACGATGCAAGATGACAACATCATTTTTCCACTCTCCATTGAAACAATTTTCATAAATAAATCCATGGCAGATGTACATAGAGTACATACTAACACAGACACACACACGAACACACACACATATACAGACACATACATACACATATAGACATACACACGTACACACAGACACAGTTGTACAACTGATGGCGCTCAAATACTTGTCCCGAATGTCCATAATGGCAGTTTATCATTGATGATCTGAGACAGGATGTCTTTGGATCTTCCCATTTGTAGGCTGTAAATAACCTTATCCGACGGATGAGTGTGCTAACACAACCGGCGTTATTCCCAACAATCGCAGTTATCGAGAAATTGCGAAATGTGAACCATTTCTTTTTTTTTCGCTCCACAAAAGAGGAAACGGAAAAAAGAATCCAAATGGAAGCACTTGACCTCTTCCTTCCAAACAAAACAAATCCCGAATAGGGAGGAAATATGTTTCAGATTTTAATTTTGGCAAAACATACATATATGTGGGAAAAAACTGACTTTCACATCGGCAAATATGTACATAACAATGGAAGCATGAAGAGACATGTATTCAAGTGCATGTTAAACACGATCAAATGAAAAACCCATTTTATATATAAATTCCAACAGAACTAGCTGACACTGAAGCCTGTAGAGAGATCCTATTAACCTGTGTATCGTATATATCTTAATGAAATCATAACTGAACCCTATACATTATGTAGTGTGGTTTTAAATTAACGGAAGTTCTAGTGAGCCCGACCAGTGTGTAAATCATTTTCGGATAGTACACTTTTTTAGTGATCCAAACTTCAAAGTTAAATTTGATTTCAAGCTGATTAAGGATGAAAATATGGTATAATTTCACGATATGAGATCACTGTATACATCTGCATAAAAAAGAGGATATATAAAAATCAAGGCAAAAATAATCATAACAGTCAATTATCAGTTAAAAGAAGTTATAACTCGGTTACCATAGTAGCGCTGGTCTAATATAATATGATGCCTGCAAGAAAGACTTAAAACTTGAGTGTTAATTTAGCCTATAACGACCAAATCATTTATGTAACCGCAATATATATCGCGTATAGACCTGAGCGCAAAACCAGTCATAAAAAACTAAAGAGAATAAAAGATGAGAAATATAACAGAAACGAGTAATTTAATTTAAAATATTTGCTGTTGCATAATACTGTGTTTAGTGACTACAAACTGGACTTGAAGTCTAGAAATTCCACTTTTATCCTGTCTGCTTCGTTATTTTGTAACGACCTCTATTACAAACGGTACAACCCAACCCCTTGAAAAACATGTAAAAGTAGAATAAAAAAAAAAGAACGGAGAATTAAAAGACATTTTGAAACTTGTCTCTCTAACGGCATTCATTTGAATTAATTATGTCAATAAGATTCTTCACATTTGGGAGTTCAAAGGTTCTAATTCGACCATTTCTTCGACATCTATTTCCGCGAACAGCAACGGTATCGTGACCAGCATCAATACGCTGTTGTTGCATCCGCTGAGCACGAGCGGCACGTGTTTCTGCTTTCTGAAATTCTGATACACGATAAAATAACCGATATATGTCATATAACAAAGCGAGAGATGAGCAACTGATATGTCAAATATCTGGCACCACAGTACTAATATATCGCAATATCTGACCACATCTTTTACCATTCTTGACTATTATGAAATGGTTGGTGGGAGAAACAATATGCTGAACCAATGAATAATTAGATAATGTTTCACAATAAACGATAAAATTTAAACCAACATTAAGCGAGTCCTGGAAAAGTCTGAGAGCCTGGCTCAGGATTTCAAGGATATTTTCCAAACTGAACTGGGAAGCACAGTAATATTCTTTCAAGCAGTTCTCATTATTGCGTACTTTTTTGATAGATCGTGCTAACTGCCCACATTTTGCCGTGGAGTCCTGTAAGAAAAAAAAGAAGTTGTCTCAAAGAATTTCAGTTAATCTCCGTCAGTTTTTGCTATTGATGTTGGGTTGGGAGTACCTGCAACCGTAGAGCTAGAATAAAATTTTCACATGAAATCTACACACCATAATGATGGGGGAATAGTGACCATAAAGTTCACGATCACCACATTCCTGCAAACTTTTTAATGATATTTCCAAAGAACGACGAAGTGATGCTTCTGATTTCTCCAAGTCGTCTATCGAATATTTCCTGAAAACTTGTATTCCTTTTCTAGAGCTGGAAAATATTAACATTTCGAACAGTGAAGGATGGAAAAAACTGCACTGTTTTAAACAAGGCCAGATACGTTATCCCAAAAAATATTGGTCCTAAATATTTGATGCTGCTTATCAAGGTAAAGCTAATTATCTTGGTTCACTTAGAAAATCAATTCCAATCTCCTTACTCCTTTCCTTGCCTGCTTCCGCGCGATTTTTTACATACTGCACCTTATAGCTTGAATCAGTGTTTTCGAAAAAAAAATGTACATATGGTCAATAAAGTACATTGAAAGCACTAACCTTGCAGGTTCCAAAAAATCCAGGACTTTCACAACAGCTCGTAAACTTTCATCAGCATATTCCGCCAAAACATCAACAAGACGTGTATTAGCTGTTACACCATTTCCTTTTGTATTCAGAGCAGGCAACAATGATGAGAGTGCAAATCCAGAAGCACCAGCTGCGAAAGTTGACTGAAGTACTGGACTTTTTTTGACGAAACAATTTTTTAAGCAATTTACTCGATTAAATTACTTATTATTACCTTTTTCTAGCTTTAAATTAGATAAAATAACACTTCAATATTGACAAAAGGCGCGTTACGAGTTGTTGGCGATTCAGTTTGGTTGCTAGATTAAAAAGGAGCGTTTTGATATTCGAGAGTTGTGAGGGAGCCTAGAAATACGGAGTTTCTAAGCTCCCGCACAACTAGATAATCTGATTAGCTAGCAATCTAATACTTTCAACCAGAAATTGAAAACAAGTAACAGTTCAAGCATAATCTACTTTTAACAACGGAAGCCTGAGAGTGAAATGGCTATACATAGTCACGTACAACAAAGAATGAGGTCAAAGCAAAGACAGCATAGAGAATACAGATGAGTCGACAAAATATACACAGTACTGAATTGAATAATGAGATGTGGAAAATTGCAATTCTTAAATATCCAAAATAATAAACATCTAATATAATGTACGACTGCAAAGAACAAGGATATTATTTAACACTCTGTTTTTCTCCTTTTCTTAAGTTACAAATAACTTATAATTAACTAATTATTAATTGTAAGGGAGTAAGACAAACTTGATTGAGGAAATTCCCATACTGCAAGCAGCGATGAAAAAAGACGTTGATGGAGGTAGAGTTGTGAAGTTCACTGGTTGCGGTCAGAAGCAGGCGGGTGCAATCAAGCTGTCGTGCAAGCTGGAAATCAGAGGAACAAGATTTCGTTTTTCCGAACAAGATTCGTTAACCTGATCCTCCAAACTGGACCTCTATGAAAGGAATTCCCTCAATTACGATTTGATCACGCGGTTACAATGACATCATCACTTACTGTATAGTCAGTCTAATCACGGAAATAAACTCACATCATTCACAATGTTGTCAGCAAGAACTTTCAATTCGATATGCAACTTCAGTAATGGTTTTCGTGCAACTAAGAAACAAAATAATTCGGCATCTTTCAGGTTATCGGCGGTCTTCACTTTTGCAAAATACGTGAGCTGCAAACAATTTAGTCCAACGATTGATTTCCACTAGCTGATCAGAGTACAGAAGAAAGCGTGCATCATGGCATAATAAAATAAAATGCGAAATCTTTTACTATTATTATTCAATGTCGAACAGTAACTAATGAAATTAATGACACTTCAAAAAAGTTCGCAAAGGGGAAGTTTCTCTGCCGTGCATAACTATTAATACCAGCGATCCCATTCAACTACTTTTTTTTTTCATCTCTACTTTTTTTCACTTAGCGTTATTGATCACTGTTAACTATCACACATAGTATGACTTTCTGTCACAGACCTATTGTATCAGTTTACGCAACTAACAATTCGATGAAAAGAGATTTTCCCAATCTTTTCAGAAAAAAGGAACTATAACAGAGTCAAGATAGATCCTCTAAATATCTAATAGATAGATAGATCTTTTTGCTCAAAATAAAAAGAAAATTATATTTACAGTATTATTTATGGCATGTGTCCTATTGTAAGAAATTTAAATTTACAAAAAAAAGTAACCTCCTCAGGCGATGGAAAGTGGTTTAGAAGAGAAGCTAAATAGTCGAGAGGAAGATCATTAATTGCAAGCGATTCCATTTTTCGTACCAATTGTTCCAATGTAAGTGGACGAAATCTCAAGGACAAACATTGAAGATTTAAATGAAAATGAAATAACGAAAGATTAAATGCTTCCACTCTTGTGTTCTATTTCAAAATTTTCCTATTTCCCAAATTTCAAGACCGTTTATAGTATGATAACATCGGCGTAAAGGCTTAGTAAAAACGATATATTCTGAGATGTATTTCAAAACCACTCCAAAGTACCATAACATGCAATGTATGCCATTCACATCATGCACGTACTGCATGACATGGCTTTGCATGCATTGCATGCCATGGCACGTCATGTCTACATTGCATGACATGGTACTTTGGAATGCTTTTGCCTAGAAAGAAATACTATAAAAAACTGCAGCAAATGTTGCTAAACTATTACGGTTGTGGATATTGTTCAGTTCAAATAGCATTTTAGTTCAAAGTTCAAATAGCATTTTCTCGAATGGTTGGGTCGCACGCTAAGCTCAATTTCGTGTTGTTCAACAAAGGGATATTCGTGATGTATAAAAGTTCTGTTGACACTTAGATGCATTAACGAAAGACAAATTTCTAAGATGAGAATCTAGCTAGTAGGTCGTTGTTACAAAGGATGCAGGTCTTTTGAATTTTTTATAATTGATCACCTCGCAAGGACGATACCCAAATTGAGCGCCCGCTTTTCCGTAATACCACCAATTGCGGCAGCTTCTTTTTTATGATCAACACTGATATTTCGTGTTCGCTCTTCAGTTGCGGTAATACGAGAACTGCATGGATGTGTTCGTTCAAAAACTTTTTCTAGCTGCAAATTTATTCCAGAAAAAAACTAAACAAATTAGGAGTCTGGAAGAGGTGACAACAAACTTTTAGTGCAAATAATATTTGCCTCATAATACTTCCTCCTTCGCCTTTCAAAAGCAATCTTTCTGAAGTGAATTTTGTAATAATTCCCTACTTGATTTAGTTTTTCCATATTTGAAGAATGCAAGTGATTGTTTTCCCGTTCCCACACTTTTAGGCAATTCTTGAAATCCCTTAAAAAGAAATCGGCAGGTTCTGAAAGGGACAGGTGGTTCATACAGAATGTTTGAAAACGTTTTCTATAAATATTAGCTGGATTTAGCATCTTAATCTTACTGACCCGTTCGCGTTCTTGCTCATTAAATTCAGCATAAATGCCACCCTGATCACTCCATATGGTCGACCGTGTCACTATCATCTCCGGCTTGACCGTCTCCCATGCAACTGTATTGGTTGCACATTTCTTCCTTGACAATATATAAAATTTACAGTAGATATTACAAATTGCCATTGCAAACATCGTCAAGACATGCTGTGAAAAAGCTTATTTTTGTTGTCGATTAGAGACTTCTATCTCAGCCGGATCCCAATTCCAGTATAACTGAATTTCTGTTATAGTTTTGATTGGATCCGTTGGTATTTTAAAAGGAAAGCATAAAAAAGCAATTGAGAGGCTCAATTACGATTTCAACTCTAAAACTGTATTAGACTTCCATTACGGATGGCTATAATCTGCAAATAGTAACATTTGTCTTAATGAGAGAAGGGGAAAAAAATTATTAGGATTATTTCAAGTACAGGTTTCTCAAGTGTTAATACGGTGAAAAAACAAACAAGAAAACATTACTTATAAATGGAAACTGATTTGACGACAACTGGTGATCCAGTAACCGGTTTTTGTCTTACGAGTGAAGTATTCAGAAACTCAGGAGCAGGTGGAGGTAGAGGAGGTGGAGGAGGTATAGAAGCAATTGCTGGCTTCTCTGTACTGAAATGCATAATCTGTTAACATCCCAAGACAAAAATCGTTCCCGGAAAGTAACTTTGAATCGGGTTTAAATGATTCGACATTTTAAATGATTATTCTCTCTTTATTACCTTTACTGGGAAAACCGGTAACGAAGTTCACTGCATCACGAATAGACTAAAGAGAAAAATTACAAGAAAAATTACAAGCTTTTACAAGAAAAGTAACTTCTCCATGTAATTTAATAAATGTTGGTAGCCACTCTGCCAAGTGTCTTCTTCCCCACTATAGTAAAACAAAATAGATTTCTAAGATCTTGAATAGTAGCTAATCTATGTGTATTGAAATGTAAAATGAAGCTTAGTATCTTAAATAAAAATAACAATGAATTCGCTGATAAATGTCTGCATAAAATGTCTAGTGCACTATGATTAATGATGCTGAAGCGTCAAATCATCAGTAGTTGAAGCCAATTGGAATAAGCTAGCTTTTATTCGATACCTTTCAGAGAACCAAGAAACCTAAGTCACTTCTAGCATGGCTCTACTTCAATTAATCTCCTCACCTACCTTTGTTTCTTAGTAGGTAGTAGATATTGTAGTGATTTTGGCGATTCTTTTAAACTGTGATTTTTCTCCTCATTCCTTTCATCTAATTTCGTGCTAGAAGGTACTGTAGCAGTATCATCATCTATGAATGGAATATTTGCCATTTCGATCTGCCGATTTCCACTACGGCGTTTCATGCGAGAAGTCGATCGAGGTCGTCTTATTGTCTTGAAAAACAACCCATTGCTCAGTCAGAAATCACACAAAATGATACAAGTATCACATGAAAAATTAAAAAATCGGATAGGAATTTGGGTATTGATCAAAACATCTAAGTTGGAACTTCATTCGGGCATTCCAAGGTCTAACGTTAACCCCTAAAGAATAGAAGTGAAGTGAAAGATTATGTCAAACATTAACAGTCATTACAATCTAGTGATAAGTTAGACGGCAAGGGTGTTTCTAACAACTTCCATTACAGTTTGAAAAAAAAATAAAATCATAAAATAAAGTAAAACAGGATACTAAAGGAATCGAAAACCTGTGGTATTGGCGAGAATTTGTTAAGCACTAGGTGATCTTGAACATTAGTACCTCTGGCAACATTTTGAGAAGGTGCAGTATCACATGAGTCGTTTTCTGTTACTGAAATCTTATCAATTTATTTTTCTGAGAGTTACATTATTTCTGCTAAAAAATAACCAAAGTTACCCATTTCAGTTTGCACTCCTGCGTTCCGCATGTGACCTCTTTGAAGATAATGGAGTACACCCCATAGTCTTTTGCCACTTGGTTGAATTTTGGCGATAAGCTCTAGTATATCCAGCTAAATAAAGACACTTTGAAAATATTTGTAATTAAAAACCATCCGTTTAATTTAATACTAATGAAGCTAGTTCTGAGATCGCGATCAATCTGTCTTTCCAGATAAACAAAAAGAAAAATCAAAAATTTGACTTTCTCAGATAATTTTCAAAGTCCTAAGGCCGTTGAATGTGTGACGCTTTGAAATGTAACTGTTTTTAACATGCATTTTTATAACTGCAATTTTTTTTTGGGAAATGTATTTCTTTTGCAAAATATTTTTTTGAAATGCATTCCATCAAGCAAAGCCTGCAATCTGTAGAAAACATTAAACTTCAAAACTCAATCCTAACATAATAACAAAAGTCTGCAATGGAATTTTGCTGTATCATAGAACAATTTCTAAACTAAACAAATTAAACCAGTACAATCAACACACTTCTCATACCAAAATCCACCAAAGTCGGAAAAAATTTTTAAAAAAAAGATACCAAAATCTCAGCTGACGTTGAGTGCTTAACTTTCACATATGCTTTTTGAAAGATATCGATTGGATGACGAGTACCACTGCCCACCAGATTATCATTGGATTCACTAGCGAAAAATATTTCCAGTTCTGATTCTACTCCTCGATTTCGTGACTCAATCAGGCTAGGTAATGCATTGAATAGACCCAACGCTAAAAATGGATCCTTACCAGTATTTCTCAAAAAGCAAATCGAAATTAAAAGCAAATTCCAGCGACCCAAAAATAAATCCAAATTAATCAACTGAAGTACAGGCTTTTTTGGTGCAACCCAAGATCAAGTTTTTTTTCCCTCCGAATGATCAACAATAAACTCTTCATAGATTGCTCACACATTAAATCTTGCCGTACTGAATAGCGTTGCATGTAGTCTTTGCACTGAAGTATAACTCGGTTCAAAGAAGCCAAATTTTTCGCTTTTACATCATCACTAACTGCCTCCGATTGAAGCTCATCCAAGATGGTTCGTATATTTCGAGTTCCCTGCAAGAATTGAATCGAAGCTGAATCGAGTTCAATTACTTTTCTTGCAACGCTCGAAATTAGGAAAAGCGAAATGGTCCCAAACAATGTGTTTGAAGAATCTAAAGAAATGGGAAATAAGAACGGAAAAACATATTCCTGAACACATAGTATCAGAAAACAACAAACTTTATTCAACAATTCGAGTGAACCTTTCCGTGACACCTGAGAGAGCAATGTTGACGTCACCGTTTCTGAAGCTTCATACTTTTTTAATTTTACATGTTCTGTAGTCACGAATACTAAATCAAAGTGCCTCACAAAGGCAGCACAGCTGTTACAGCCGTAACAGATTACCGCCTGAAAACTTTTTAAGGTATTTCATACGCTTATTTTCTTTACTATAAAAGTAAAAACCAGTACACTGTATTCGACGAGTTTAAAATTATCAAGGGGAACTAGAAAAATCTAAACGAGCAAAAATAACCATCATGTATTTCCAAATCCGAAATATCAACATCGATATGTTGCGGCGGCAGAGGTGAACCACCCTTTCCGGAGTCGGCGTCAAAACTTCCTTGTCTCCTGGACTTTCCATCTACATCTTCAGGACCAGATGCAGCTGGAGACATACTATTGAACATTTCATTGGAACCAACACTTTCACAAAAAGCTGTCACATAACTACCAGAGGAATTACTTGGAAGCGACACATCTACATTGGTCAGTGACGTTACGAATGAATCGTCATTTCCCGATGCTGCTTGTATTGAATGACACTCGTTTATATCCTGGAAATCCAAACAATATTTCACTAGTACTTTTCCATCCTCAGACTTCATTGACGAATCTGCGTTACTGTAGTGGTGACTTCATGGTGACTTCACTATCTGCGCAGTGACACCTCATTGGCATTAAATATACCAGTACTGGTAATTAATTCTTAGAGTAACTGAAACATACGAATAGGTGTCCTTGCTTGGGTATAAAATGAGGAATGATAATTTCCTGAAATGTGAGCAAAAATGATCTACACCATTCATAGACTTCAATTAGTTAAGAATCAACTATCAAAACAGTACATTAAGTACAAGATACTATTCAGAATCATATTAAATAGAGCAATGCTGAAAAAATAGAATGATGCGACAGAATAATTTCACCGTTTGCTTCCTCTTTCATCTACTCTTTCTTCCTACTCTTCCTCAGTTCGTCAGAATTACATTGGAATGAATTCAAATCATGATATGCCGCCTTTTTCTTTCATTGTTCCTGTCCTACCTATGGAAGCGCGAAGTGCACTCCAATATGTACTTCTTTAGAAACAATCAGCTATCATCCACACGAACAAATACTTATGCAGAACCGATGTACAAGCGAAATGACCTCACGACGCGTCACGCCTACCTTAGCTCTTTTCGATACGCAAAGAGTGCAACCAGTTTTTTAATTTGAATGATAGTAAGACTTCCTATGAACAACCTTTTCTATTATCCTTTGCATAATTTAATATGAAATTACTGCAGCATACTACTTACATGCATATTATTTCCTCTAAATTTTAAACATTTGTGTAGTTATTATCGGTTTCATAAAGTACTCATTCATAAATCAATTGCGGTCACTGATATCACTGATATTGCGATCTTATTTTGAATCTATGTCACAAACAAAGAATGTTTCTATCCATTAAGGAAAAATAATAAGACCACCTTGGAAGACTTTGATGAGCTTATTTTTTCGGTCTTTGCTTCCAATGCTTGCCAAAAAGATGACTGTACCCTTCTGACTGTTTTACGACCTAACGCAGCAACTAATCCTTTTTCTTTTTACTTCTGAAAAAGTCTGGAAACAAAATGAGAAATCCATAACGTTGAATAATTCGTGGAATAATAAATACGCGCAAATGAATCAGATTGGAGGAGCTCCAGATTCTTAGCAGCTATGAACGCCACCTTTACGTGATCCCAGAAGTGTTGAAACCCAAACTGACATACAGCACTCTTGATGATTTTTTTATCACAACAGTAATGGTTACTTATTGACAGAACTTATTCGATACAGCAATTGATATATCACTATTTCAGGCAAAACAATGTTAGTAAGAAATAAGACACCAATAAGCGATATCAGCGAGCAAAACATTTAGCAAAATCTTACTTGCTGCTCATTGCCATCACAATCGCAACTGCGTAAGATTCCAAATCCGTAAATCCAAACCTCGAAAAGACAAAACCTACTAAACTACCAACAGCCAAACCACCAAAAAGTTTTCGAAAATTCGAACAAACCGACCGCGGCGAGTGAAAACACTGCAATGAGTGATGGATTAAAATAAGTGCACAATTCAAGTAAAACAGACAATAATTCAATATTGTCATAACAAAACTATCAATTAAACTTCAGAGTGCATATGGAAATTTTGAAGCAATGTTTCTTCTTCAGAAGGTTTCGAATTCTCAATCAAATTCATGGATTGGTAAACCACAGCGATTTCTTAAGTGTAGGAAGTTTTCCAAAGTAAAATCAGCGAGGAGACAGACGGAGATTCATTCAGTGAAAGATTTGCACCAATATATTTGAGTCAGTCTTTCCTAAGTGATCAGTGTCATCAGTATCACGTGATCAGAAATTCTAATAACCTCATATTACGCCAAATAAAGTTGGAATAACAATATTTAGTTTCATTGCTATAGCACAAATGTTTGTATTTTGCCTTCAAAACTTACATTAGTCATATGAAAAAGCTATGTAATGTTGGAGGCTATCGGAAAATGAAAATGAAAATGGATGGATGTATCTTAATCACTGAGGTTTATGGATCTACACCAGATCTTTCAAAACGATCGTACAATATCAATGCAACGAGAAAATACAACTTTAAATAAGGGTAGAAACACGGTATTGAAGGTGAATTACGTGCAAATCTGTCGCATGTGAAACTTCGAAGATAGATTAAAATGATCGAGATTTCAGTTCGTTCTAAGTTTGCATACCAGTAAGATAAAGGTTCGTGGTGAGCTTTTTTTTTATTGCAATTTAATGACGAGCTATCAGTCTAAGTGACTGCACAGATATGCAAATCAAGAGCAAATCTAATCGTTATGCAAATTACTCAGTTTCTAATCATCAAGGGTTACTAATAATTCCTACTTTCGCAGGAATGGTTCGGGTTTGGGTAATAACTGAAATGATGAGCAAATTGTTTCCTAACCAATCACTCTTAACTAAAATTGTGGCTAGAATGTCAAGTGATATTAGCTAATCAATTCAATCCAAACTTGAGCAATTTAGAAACATCGCGTTCCTTATCTAACTTACTTCTAAGCTTGACAGTTCTTCTATCGCCATCCTTCCATGCGAGATTTGTAGTCAATAAAAGTTAACCTAATAGTTCACGAAGTATATGTTGATGATCACCTTCACAAATTCAGTTATGTGAAAGCTTTTGAGACGATAGATGCAAATATCACTAAAATGGCGCAATATGACAAATTAAAAGTAAAATTATACTACATGTCCAAAAACTTTTCTACCACACAGTATATTTTTCGGGATATCATATCTACCTGCTGCAAAAATAATGTTATCATTCCAGACAACAAGTTCTTCGTACTTTTCTTCCTCTACCTGTCCTATTTGCAGTATTACCTGAAAATCAAGTGGTACTACCTGGTAATTACTTTAAACACTTTCTCTAATTCTCTTCAAAATAACTTCAATGTAAGCTGTGACAACGCAAACAAGTATGCACAACGTGATGGGATATCACAAGTAACCTACGCACATAAGCGTAGTTTCTACAAGTACGAGACGTTAATTAATTATATGTCAGGTTTAGCAGGGACGGATTTGTCTCAATTTCCCTTAATTAGTCGTGCTTTAATTAGTCGACTTAATTAATTAGTCGTGTTTCATTCTTATAAATCACGAATAGCTCAAGGCTATGCAGTGGATGGTTGGAAGGTATACTTCGTGATGAACAGCGGTAATGGGAAGCCTCCCAATAATATAGCGACAAACTCGATAGGAATCAACATTACCACATAAAATGACCATCAGAAAGGAACGTTTACTTTTGCCGTGTTAATTCTCTCTGATACCACAATTGTCCTCTAAATTTTCAGAAGACAATTTAATTTTAGTGTACATTTTGCAAAGTGAGACAATATGAAAAATATCCGCATAGACGCGAAACGTGAATCCTGACTGGACTTCAGAAGTGAATTTCAAGTAACCGTGGGTTACTGCTATATGCGAAAACGTGTCAATTACGCTCTGCACATTTCATTTTTAACGTGACAATCAAATCACACAAATAGGCGCAGAAAAGCGACTAAACGATAATGCTCATAAACCTCATTAATTGAATGACATTGTATATGTCAGTATGTCATATCAATTAACTTAATTAAACTGACGCATCGTAACCTAACTCATTCCCTATGTATTTAACCAAAGCAGACTGAAATGCTCCAATCTACTCACCCAACGTGATCTACGTCATATCAGTCCACTTGGACCAACGTCATCTAAGCCATATCGACCATGTTATTGTTAACTGGCAATTCCTTTTGCAGTAATTTTTTAGGAATGAGAGCAGAATATATTTGTGATGCGCAGACAATGTACCGTCAGCAATCATCTTCGCGCCATAGAGTGCGAGAGTGTGGTTTGGTTGAAGATGTATCGAGGGTCAGGATTTTCTCTCCGTGTTCCTCTCTCCATTATCTTCATATATGTGTGTATATTCATATGTTTACCTAAAACAGGCATGCATTCATCCATTATAAGAGGAATACCGATGAAATCTTTCATGCTTTGGGATAAATACGCCGGTACTATCCTCCTATCATTTCATTATGCAACATGGGAAGAAGGAAAAGTTGAAGGGAAGTACCTGATTAAGGCATTTGAAGAGAAGGAAGGAGAGACCTTGGTGTTATCACTAGGAAAGGAAATTATTTTTAGGACGTTGAAAAAAAACAAACTTTTTAATGCTTTTCACTGCAATTCTGCAACAAATAGAACTAATCAACAGCTTCAATTTTTTATTTAATATCATTTTCTTATGGAATGAAAATTCAACCATATATTTGGTCTCGTAGTTTGTTGTTTAACAGAGTTCAAATAATTTTTTGTATGAATAAAACTACTTGAACTTTGATTTTTTGAACCCAGAATATCCATTTTCCGTCGCCTCACAGTAGACTTTCTTTCCATGACATCCTACTGAACCTTTTCTTGTCTCATTATAAAAATCATCCTTTATAGCACAGTTCTTATAGAGTTATTTCAAAGATAGTTATCAATGGTTGCTCTCTTTACAGGTTCATCTTTAACCAGATCTTCTCAGATAGACTTCTGCTCACTTGAAAAATCCGAATGACATTGATCCGAATGATTGATGTCCTAGTTGATGCTGTTAATGGTAATGAATTCAAGTTTCGGAAGTTAGCAAATATTGCAAGTGGAGTACATTTGAGAGTAACATTTGAGATTTGTATTTAGAATGGAATATTGAAATTGTGCTTCCTAGAAGGACGTAATTGACAGTACCGGTCTCTTTTTTTTCCCCTTCCTCCAAAGTGGAAATTTTTTGAATTCTTGGAAATGTATTGCGCAATGTGCCACAGAGTCGCAGATCTCTCTTTATTTTCACCTCAAACTTAGGTAATTAAGCTGTTCGATAAATGAAACAACCTTAGTATAGCATGTTCATTAAGAATTACAAAATACAAATTAACGCATAATGCTATTACCAAAAGCACTGACACAATATATAATTATGAAGACTCCAATCTGAAGAATAAAAGGAAGAATGTCTTCCTGTTATTTGCAGAGTTTATATTTACATCCTTCAAGGATTAGTTTTACGATTACAGGGATTAGCGCTTTTGTTAGCTCTTACCGATAAAGCTCTCTTTGTTAGCGCAGTTGATAAAGCGCTTTGTTGGCCTACATTAGTGTACGGTTTTTAGGATACATTGCTAAACAATGAAAACATATACAATTCTATGCAGTGATAATACACAACTCATACAGTAAAGGCTTTGGATGATTTTTAATCTTATCACGATCCAGTTTTGTACATGCAGAGTAGTACATCACTAACACATCCACTTATGATTCTTTCTATTTCCCCTTATCATGGGAATTTCCTCGTGTTCGTTGACGATTCTTTTTGAGATAAAGTAAAGCCTTTTTTTCATTTGATTACAAAGCAGAAATATATATAGACGCAACCACACGAGTGATTTTAGTACCATAAAGCAAGAGTCATGAGAATTGTGGAGGAGAACAAGGTCACCTTTATGTCTTAATCGTTATCGCCTTAAAATCGGTGACCTGGACGAAACCATCTGATAATGTTTGATTAAGCTGACTCATCGACCACTGATACATGTATTTATGTGGTTATGATTGAATGACAAGCACATATGACGAAATGTTTTAAATTTGTTAAATTGGTTGAATTGCATGTTGATGGTAACGGTTTCTACACACTTGTTGTTACCAGTTAAAAAAAAGTCCGCACTCTACCGGGAAGTGATAGCGATGACGTGTCATAAGAAGTTATTCATTATGTCGTTAAAAAGATTGAATTAATGTTCTCTTCGAGATATGATTGTAAAGTAGTTTCGAATCTAAAATACAAAGATCAAATTGAAGGATTTGCATGATGTATTATTAATTGGGATAAATATGAGAAAGGGATAAATTCAATGATGGCATCATTTTGAACTAACCAATATGACCTGCTAAGTTTAATTGCCTGTAAAGTAGGAGGGAAAATTCGGAAAGGAAAATGCGACAAAATAGTTTTCTGAGGAATGCCGTGTTCTCCATTCCTTTTCCCGCTATTTCTTGACGAAGTATAGCTTTGTCAGTTCAGTTATATTTCTTATCAGTGAGATCTTTCTCTTCATATTTTCTCTGATATTTTAAATATCATGCGGGGACAATGTCAACTTAGCTGTGCTGATTTCTACAAATCACTTCACTCCAACACTTTGAAATACAATTTAAGCGACTTTTAAATTAAAATTCATTTCTTAAATAATTCTCTTTTTTTATGCGGCATTATAAGCATCCCTTACTTGATTATATCACGTCTTAGAATCCAAATATATTTTTGAAAAAAATGGAATAACTTCAAGGACACTATTAGATACCGAATACTAACTGGGAAGGATGAAAGTGAGTTTAACAAAGTAAATAGTTCTTTATGTAATGAAAAGGGACAGAGAAAACTCATTCTGTGATTAGTTTTAAAAGTTTTACAATTTATAGTTTAAAGGAAAAGTTTGATATATATAAAGTGAATATTAGTAGTTTATATAAGCACTTGTTTGGAGAACTTTGGATATATTTGAACCGATTACTCTCTCGAAATATTATTTGTCCAAATAATGTGAGAATTTAAAAAAAAAAAGTCTTGCTAATAATTCACAGAATGTACACATTTCAAATACGACTTCCTAATAAATTTAAATCCAACGGATGAAAAAGAATCAATGGGAAGGGTTCTTATCTTTTATTTGTTTTCTATTTTATCGTATAAATTGATTCACAATTTAATGTACAAATAGGATGATAATATTATATGGGTGGTTACTTTACTTCCTGAGTCACTAATTGAACGGTTGTTTTCTAATTTCGATAATGACAAGTTCAGCTTCAAACACAGTCGACAAGTTAGACGCGGACAGTGATTATATGGAGCTTTATTTGAATGGTAGCAAAAGATCGGCAGTATGAATTCGTTGATTTTAATATGATTCGAAACTACAGAAACTGCACTATGGTTTTGTCACATAAGAATTTTTTAGGGTAGCAAAGAAAGTGAAAGTAGTCCTTCACCTCCAAGCTATGCTGTATTTGAAGATAAACATGGTAACCTGGTCAATCCAGGTCTCAATGTAAGTTTCGGATTTCATTATGAATAATTTCTTAAAATTATAACTGACTAGAGTATTTCAGGAAGAGTTTTCAGGTGATCTGGCCAGTGCGTCCACAACGAGGACGCTATTCACTTAACGAATACAAAGAACAAAAGCAGCGTTTGCAAAGACAAGAGCAACAGCGGCGAAATAAAAAGTACAATTTCAAGTTCGTTCTGTAAATTTCATCTTCAATACTTTAATTTACACCGAATGGTATTTATTTCGTAACAAAAGATGCTTCATATCATCGATAGGTAGATGAGATGATTTGCATCCATTTCTGAAATCATTCTAGATTGTCAACCTCAATGCATGTCCTTATTTTAGGAGTAGGAAATGTATTAAGCAATCAGAAAGACAGTCTAATATATCAAGTATCTATCAGGCAGAAAAAACAAAAGACAACAGTAATATCTATATCGGCGTTCGATCGGCATCCAGCTTGCGTTCCATTCTATGGCCTACAGAATTTCGTCTGTTTTACATGCGACCAGAATCAATGAATTCATTCAATCAGGTGATTAATGATTGATCTCCTCTTCATTTTCTTCATTCAGGTTAAACAAAGTTTAAATGCTATCGTTTATAAGACCTCGGTAGTTACAGAAAATTTACCGATGATCTTCTAGTACTTCGTACATATATTGTCGAAATTAAGCATTTGCTGCCCTCAAAAGGAGAAAAAAAAAAACTTTCATTTGGAAAAAAAACTTTTACAAAAACGAACTTGCAAAAAATTTAAATTAAAAGTTGTGGAATATGCCATTCACGTGTAAAATTTATGATTAAATAATAGTATCCACCCTTCGCTTCCAATAACTAAATTTAAAATTCATTTTTTTTAGTTACCAGTAAAAATGCCATTAATGTTGGCTTATATGAGTTCATCCGGAAAAATGTACAATTTCAATTTCAAAACACATGAATATAATTCTGGGACATTTTGGCAACTTGATTTGAGTAGTGTTGGTGGTCCTGAGCAACCAATGTATCTTTTTTTTTTCTTCTTTAATCTTTAGGTATAACTTCCTTCTGATTTTGTTTAATCGAATATAATGCCAGCAAGATTTCTGGATAAATTCCATTTTAACTGTTGCATGGTAAGTTTCTCTACAACATACTGTAAAAATGTCAAGCATAATGAAGGTTATAGCTTATTCCCCCTTTAATACAAAATTGAAATTGAAGGCTATTTAATTGCAGATTCCGTTCGATATCGGCATTGATACAACATTATAAATCACTTGTTATCGATCGTGGTGATGGTAAATCGGAAATATTTCCAGTGGATTAGTAATGATCGTTTTTTAAAAACAGTGTTTTATTTATGCTAATTAGAAATTTTGAACAGTAAATCGTTTAAGAAGAATGTTCTTTCGAGAATGCGATTCTCTTCTCTTCACTTATGCTAAGAAACAATGAAAGAATTAGGAAACAATTGATACATTACATAATTCTAAGTTAATAACCTCCTTTCCGATACAATTCCCTCATAGAGATTACGGTAATTTTCATGTTGTACTCTTTTAATGACTCCATGCAGTAAACGTCCGTTAATTAGTAAAGCTAAAGGTAAATAGATTTTTGGTGTATTTTCATTTGTAACTATCATCGATTCGTTTCGAAATACTTTCTGTAGAGTTATCTAGGAACTGGCCAGCCAATGTGTGCAAATGGCAACTTTGCTTCGGAATCTCGAATCAAATCTCGAATCTGTTTCATATCTCATAGAGCTGAATCAAGTCAAAATTTTTAATGAAATGAGTAATTTATGTGAGCCCACGAAGAAATATACAGAAAAGTATTGGTAAAGGTTTCTTTAAACAGGAAATCGAATTGAAAGAAAAGAAGTACAGGGAAGATTCTCCCAGAAACATTTTCAAGTTCCGGATTGATGGGCAATTGGATATGGTATAACACATCATAATGCATTAATTTATGGTATGCTAGTTTAATCATGATGACATTATCATATCATAACTCTTTGAAATATTAACTATCCCTGGCATATATCATATCCTTGCAGTTGGACTAGTTGATGAATCTGTTATCGCATGCTTTCTGTGGTGACTTTCGGATCAGATGAGTGAACCGGCTGTCCATTAGCGTTTCTAAATTGACACTGAATACGCTTAACACCTTCAGGCTTATATTTTTCAAATATTTCCCGCGGCCGCATATTACAGATCTCCTGCAATACAGAACAAATTTAATAATGGCTGTAAAAGTTATTTCTTGAAAGCTATCAAGACGGTACATGAAATAGAAACATCAACTAAAGATGGATTATCTCGGGAATGCGGTATGAGATATCGATTCATATCTGCAATTTTTTTTAATTTTCATTTAAATTTAATGTAATTGTTGAATAAATAAATGAACTACAGAGAAAAGGCAGAAATTTGAAGTCTTACTTTGTTAACTCGAATATGATAAAATGCAATGAAGTGTAAGTCATCTTTTGGCACATCTTTCCACTTGAATGTTATTTTAATACTCTGAATTTTTTTTTTAATTTTAATTTTTTCAAAATTGGCTGTTATTCAACGGTTAATTAGAAAAACTATAAAGCAGTAGGATATGTGATTCCTATATGAGAATTTGGATATAAAGGTCTCTGAAATTGACCGCCGATGGTTTCATTAATTTTACATTTCTTTCAAACAAACCTTTTTCTCATTTGGAGCAATAATTCCATGTGCTGGTCTGATAGTAAACATATTGTTTGCTGTACATTTTACCTGTATTTAATTCATTCTTTTTATAAATTTACAACATCAAAACTATTTTCTCCTCATTATTTCTCTCTCAATGCACAAAGCGTAAATCGCTTTCCACATGTTATCGTATTGGACAACAAATTAAAGTTACAGTAGTTTTTCAGTACCGTTTATATGTGACTCTACATACACCGTACGTTATGGTATCAGCCAACTTTGATATTCTTATATAATGATTTGAACTGAAGGGCTAAAGAAAATACTGACAAGATTAAACGGAATCCAAATAATTCGATAGAAACTTTAAATAAACGTTGTAATGAATGATTTAGAAAATGAGCACTGAGAAATCTGATAGTAGAGTGATTCAGGCTCAGGTTTAGCTTTAGCTTTAGATAGGGTTTAGCTTTAGATTTAGGTTTTACTTTAGATAGGTATGTAAAGTGTGAAAAAAAAAGGACCTTGAATGCCTGGATTAGTAATGTATTATTATGAAGTGTGGCATATACTGTTACTGGTTTGATGCCAATTTTTGCACCCCTGAAGTTTCTTCATCTTTTTTTTTATTTTATTTACTTGGAATGAAAAAAAAATTAAGATAAGTCAATCGTTACTGAGGGAATTATCATGGAATTCAATTTCTAACTCTGTTATATGTCCACTAATTCAGTTCATACAATAAATTACAGTACTATTGAGGTGACTTTGTGCCAGAAATTATTGCAAACACATCAAATTATATTTCCGATGCTAAGATTTCAGGGGAAAAGTTTCTTTTCTAAGATGATTATTGCATTCTGAAGTTATCAAAAAGTCTCTTATACATAAGCAGAAAAATTTAGGAATTCAATTCTAGGATAATTTCATCAACAAAGTTCTACTATGTGATATTCATATCATTCTTAATTAGGCGCACATAAAAATGATTCTCGTCGTCGGGATTAGAGACATTTGGAATTCATTCTCATTTGGCGTGTGATCCACCGGTCTGCCGCCTGACAACATTGTTGATGTCGTCGAAAACGTACTCAGGTCTGTCATTTTCGGTCTATAAAAAATTTGATTTTTTTCCCTCTTTATAAGTAACCTCCAAAATTTTTGCAAAAAAAATTGGAATTGAAATTCGGTGAGATTCGGCGCTTAATTAATTAATTAACTCTAGAGCAAATGGTATAATTATTTTTGTTGATAAGTACTCTAATGATTGATGAAAAATCTAATTAATGAGTTTTTGAGATTAAACACAAGGGTATTCAAAACTTTTGAGACTGTTTAGAAGTTCATTGGGGATTTGTACCAATAATTTTGATTTGTTTTTCTACCGATTTTTTAAGTCTAACTTTGCAGAGAGTCTAAGTATTACCTCGTAACCATTTCAAAATGTCGTTTTCTCTGCGACAAAATTTAGTCTTGTGCAATTAATCATTGTTTCCCATCTTCTAGTCTATCTTGCCCTACATTTCTTATTGTCATTACTTATTGTCATTACCCCTTAGAAATTAATTAATTTTAGTATTAACTTTCACAATTCCTCTCTTCAAATGAGAGGAAATTTCGCCGATCAATCAATCATCTCCTCTCCTTCCCTCCAATACAATCAAATGAAACATCCAAAGGTCAGAAATATTAATAGCCCACCACTTTGTAGAAAGGAATATATATCAAATAATCTCAAACATATATACTCATTAATTTTTATAGCTATCAGAGATATTCAAATATCAAAGATTTGCTACATCCATTTGCCTTTTTTTTAAGCTAATATTAGAATGAATAAGTTGGCAGAATATCAAATGATTTCTTTCGCCTTTTTTTCTAAATCCAAAATCTTATCCACTCAAATGATTTCAATGTTTTTTCCACGAGCTTCTTGGCTCTTTTACCATTTTTCTGATAGAATTCAATAACTTTCTTTTTTTCGTCATTGGACACTTCAAAAATCATTCATTGTCACTCTTGAGAATCCCTGAAGCAATGCGACCGCGTCATCTAATCAAGTTGAAAAACATCAAAACTCCAAGAAAGTATGGCTGAGTTATCTACTGAATACTTTGTGATAAGTTCAATTCAAGTAGTTCATGAAATGGTGAACAGACTTAGCGGATTTTGGTTGTGTGAGGAATGTTTATGCATGTTGGTGACACTGCGGCACACGCCTTGACCCAGAGATGTAGCGACAGTCTTCACAGGTTTGTTGTCTTACTTGCTATTACTTTAATTTGTAAAAATTAAGCTCCATTAGTTCAAAATAAATAGAAGTACTTGTTTGATGAAGCAGCAGTGCGCAAATGTCACTGAATGCGAGATCAGCATTAACGGACATATCCTAAGTGTCCAGTCAGTTTCCGATTTCAATTAATGAAAGCTTAAAAATTCTATCATGCATGTACATTTTCTACGCATGACAAATACTACCGAACTCGTGAACCCACTCATTAAAACTTAACCCGTCAATTTTTCAGTAATTTCGACTATTTATTTGTACTCAACTAATTGTCAGTAAAGAATGCCTTCTTATTTAAATGATGTGTGGAGCTTTTCGAAAGTTCACAACTTCAGCAGTACAAGGCTGGAATGGACTGAAGGGAATTCTTCTAAAGGAACTCTTCTGAGAAGAAATTTTTAAATCACTGAAAAACTCAAGATTCAGTAACTATTAATGCACCATCAAATCTAATTCAGCTTAACGAACTTCGAGCTTTTCTTCATTCAAGTCAGTAAAGGAGCCCTCCGAATCAGCGAGAAATCAGTGAGAAACCTAAGTCATAAATTCGGTCCGCGTTAAAATTCGATATCTCGTCATATTTCAGCTACTGTGAACACACCAATACTAATACGCATATTTTATGGACCACATGAACAGTTAAAGATTAATTTACCAGCAAATCGCAATCACAGTAATATTGTGCTATGCATTCATTGTAGGACTTCAGAACAAACAATTTAATCGAAAACTTAAGGGAAGAAAATCCAGACTGGTTTTATTAATAAAAAATAATTCACAACTCCCAAATATAAAAAAGAAAAATGCGAACATCTTGGGATAGCGTCACTGACCAGTCATATTTAGCACTACTGAATTTTCTATTCCCCAAAGTTCTGTGTTCTCCATAAGCAAAGCATACCTAGCAATAATTTCTTTGCATGTAAATAAAAGCATAAACTATTACTGCAAAACAAAATCAGCAATAAGAGGTATGTGATCGGACGGAGTCGTTGAGTTAGGCCAAGGTCCTAAAGTTCCAACTAACTGATTTATATTTGGCAAACTGAGACGTCGAATTAATCGTATTTCCATTTCAGAAACACTCATTGCTGAACTCGAATTCAGGAACGATTGCTGAAAAGGCCAAATTTAAGGATAACTAATCATTAAATTTGCAAACTGTGTTCAATACCGTGTAACAGAGCCATCTAATTTCAGTATGTTTAAAAAGTAAATCAAAGGATTTTAAGGGAGAAGAAAAAATATCAGGCCTTTTTTTTTGTATTTCGAATTAATGTGATTAGTTACTTGTAACATATAAGTATAAAATGAAAATAGGATAAGCTTTACCGTGTAATAGATCGAATGTCAGTGAGAATTCAAACAAACGGAGGATTTGTAAGAAAGAGACAAAATAAGAATTTTATGAGAAAATCAAAAGGAAATCTAAATAGTCTCATCAATCTATAAATGAAACGTTTAGTATTTCCAAGTGAAAATGACCTTAATTCCTTTTGACTTGACAGAATAAAATATAAAGTCTGGATTGACAGCTTCAACACTGTGATATGTCGAAACCACTGGCTGAAAAAAATTTACAAGTTCCATATGAACTGGTACTGTTTTCTAAGAACTGGCAGTAATTTCTCAGAATTCGGTACTGTAGAAGTCTCAACAATATTCTTGGCTCGATAGGATAATTTAAGAGCCAACCCTGCCATTAAAAATCATACCCTATGAATGCTGAACCGATGCGAACAAAAATTAAGATTACAAAGTTGGTCAATTACAAATCCTACTTTTTGATAAAAATAGTAGAATTATAAAAATCTTACCCCACTCTCTGCATTTACATGATGATAAACACTGTTGAAAGAGAGCGGATGACTCCAGCAATTTAATGAAGGAAATAGCATTGTACGATCTGCAAAGTAACAAAATTTTAAACAAAATCTAGCATGTAACAAAATTTTTAAACGTAAAATCAAAGACATAATTAACCTCGCCTCATACAAATCCTGATTTGAAAACCCCTTTATAATTTTCGATAAAACCTCAATAAAAGTCGAGTGTCGCAAGGTTTTTTATAATGAAAAAAGATGACCAATTTGAAAAATTTTGAACTGCAATACTTTTTAATAGTAATCTGATACTTCCTCAGCTGAGATTACGAACTACCTTGGATATGGCAAAAACTTTAACAAAGAACAGTATCAAATACTGCTATCTTGCTTTGTTTGTTTATGAAGTTTCTAGAGTGGAATGAACCAAAAACAACAAACAATAACATTTTTATGTTCTCAAATCTATATCAGATCGAATTTTCATAATTTACAGCAAGCATAAAGCAACTTCACAGCAAGATTACACTTCTATAAGTTCACACTACACCTGAATATATCCCAGTAGAATCGATAATATTCCTAATTTGTGAAGCATATCAATATCAGGACAGGCCTTCAGACTTACTTTTCAGATATTTGAATCGACAATTCCGAGCGATTCGTACATCTTCAGGCAATAAATTTACTGAAACAAACGGTCCACCAGAATTACCTTGACCCGAAATATCACCTCGTCGTAGATTAGAGAAACAAATTTCACCACTCATGATAAAATTATATAACGGACTATATGGTTGAATATTAAAATCACCACATAAAATATACGGACATTCTTTACCAGATTCCGGACCACATTCCTGTAAAGATGAATTTATTTCCACTAAATAATTCTTGTTTAAATTTATATTTCAATACTGAAATAATATCTCCGATTCTCTTCATGACTCTTAATTATTAATATTAAGAAGTAATATTGATTTTAAATAAGATTCGCATCACTTCACAATATTTTTGAATATTCGCCATGAAAAATAATTCTCCAAAACCTTCAGTATTAAAACAATAAATTCTGACTTTACTACCGTTTAATAATTTAGCTGGCCTAAATGTGAATTCTTTTAGTGATGTCTATCCACTACGGCATAAAAAATCTCTGATGCTCTGCAACATAGATAAATGTGCTAATGTGAAATTTGGTTAATGGCATTTTAAACAAAAGTATTCTTCACGAAGAAATATCATTTTAGTACGCAATGGAGAGTATCAAGTAAAACCCAAAATTTTTTTGAACCGACTATCTTCCTTCTTGGCCTCTTCCAAAAGCTGCAGGAAAAATGTCATGCTGGCATCGTCATTTACGAAAAAAGGAAAAAAAAATACACCTTACCTGGTCGATATTTGCAAGTAAGACAGCAAGTTGTGCAAGTTTTACATCACCACGTCGTTTATTAAATAATAAATGTGTATTAGCAGTGCAAAATTCCCGTCCACTTCGCATATCTTTCAAACGAACCAACTGACCTGAAATGGAAGCAAAAGTACAGAAGATACCTTCGACACTTTGAGTAATTTTACCCAGCAACTATTCTTACTCAAACAAAATCTGCCAAATATACCAAAAAATGCAATTATTTGGAACTTACCGACATTATCCCTGTCCAATACTGAATCACTATTCACATAATACTCAATATCTCGATAATGAAGCAGTTGGAAATGAGATTTATAAAATATCGCACAGCCATCCATCAAACTATGCGTTCGCTTCTTGTACTTACCAAGAAAACCAGCTATGGAATATTCAAAAACTAATAAAAGTTATGCAAATAGTGTACGTGGGCAATTTTGAGCTTTTATCATCCGAGAAAAAAGTAGTAAAAACATAGCTAGAAGGTATGAGAATAATTTTCCTAATGGCCTCCTGTTTATCTAAGACCCAAGCTAATTTTCATAAAAAATTTTCATAAGAACCTTAAAAATAACACCATAACGATGTAAATACCCGTGATAGTGAACGACACTAACTGTACTACGGCTAAAATTACTTGAGGAAAATTCATTCTCGTCAACTATTCCTTCTGAAAACTTGTATACCAACAATAAAACGTTGAAAACATCATACATTCAGTCTTAAACTATACAAGCATCTGAGCCATCAGTTTATATGGAAAGCTTACCAGCTTCGAAATATGGTTTAAAGAAGTACTCAAAATGATCGTATTGCACTTCTTGAAGACAAAAAATATCAGCAGCGATCATTGCGAATTCACGTGAAAACAACCTCCACCGATTTTCCCAAGTTAATTCGTAAGCACGTCCTGATTTCCTAAAAAAAAAAGAAATATCGCTACCATTTAGCGAAAAGTGTACCTTCTTATGTTACTGTTATATTTACCTTTCCAAATAATGTTATTATCCTAAGAACTTTCACAATATATGGGGAACAGATACAATTTATATTCATAAAAGATGAATATGCAATAACTTTTGCTCACGTAAGATGTATATATAGTTCAGGAGTTTTACAAGCAGTTTGTTGACAAAGAACATTGTAGCTACATATCCTCAACGGATTACCATCGACCACTCCATTCTAAAATTATAATTACTGGTATAAAAGGAAAATTTGATAAAAGTCCAGATATCATCAGGCAGTACCACTGAAATCACAGTGAACTATAACTGCATGAAAATATATCCTTGTATGCAAAAGCCGACAAACTTCGATCACTATTCAAAATCTGTTCAAGAGCAAGGGAAAGTAGATTTCCCCTGCTCTTGAACATCTTTAAAATACTAATATTATCGGAATTGATCAAACGCACAACAAAGATTCCTCATTTAATGAGATCCACTATTGATCATTATTAAACATAGAAAAAACTAACCTGTATAACATCCCATCTTCTCAACCATTTTTTACAAATTGATAAAGTACCCTGAGTCAGCAAATCCACAAATTCCGGCATGTCTGCAACATGATCAAGAAGATAGCATTCGTGAAGGAATTTCAAAAAAAATGAAGTGAATGTCTGCATATTTCAGATTTTTCTAATCTAAATCCATTAAAGAATGAGATATGTGTTCTTTGGGAATATTCCGGTAGGTATAATATGCGCTAAACAGACAATTCAAAAAATTTTTCGTCACGGAAACGAGTAAGCAGATACTATCAAAAGAAAAGAAGGTGTTTTTTTTTTCAGATTTCATTTCAGCCGTCTTTGTAGAAACAGAAAAAAACAATGATGTCAGAATTCCACAGAAAAAAGCTAATCATCGCTTAAATTTTTAGTTTCAGACTTCCAACAAAACGAAAGGAGTACTTCCACACCAAATAAACCACGTGTGGGAATTCATAACTTTGAATGGAAAAACCCCATTAAATTTAAATTATTCCTTCCCAGCTGTCCTTTATCAATCATTACAAACAAGACGCATAATTATAGTCGATAACGTAATTTTATAGCATGCAAACTAGTACAAGAACCACTGCATTCACTCAAGATATTGATAAAGTTTATTTATCAATATCTTTGCTCTAGGCTCTCTCGCTTTCTCCAGTTTAATTCAGAGAAGCCATATGACACCTGATATTTTCTAAAAACCAGGACCAAGCTGCAAGCAAACAACTGAATGAGAAACCCACCGACTAAATCTCAAACTGAATTGTATTGAACCGGCCTAATCATTCAACAACATTCAAGACCAAGTATTACTGATCACCTAATTACTTTAAACAATAAAAAGAAAACCAATTAAGACTCATGCATGCAAGTAAGACTTCATTTTGAAATGGAGGGATAAAGAAGAATGCAACTGGCAATAACAGAAGATAAAAGTACATATGTAAAAATACACATGCCAAAGAGTAAATTATTAAAGAAAACCTGAAGGAAAGGTTTCAGGAACAAAATGTGTCAGAAAAATCAGTTCCCGTAAAACATTCTTTGGGCTCCCACCTCAGTTGAGGTAGCAGAATTAGAGTAATGGAAGCCACTGATGGTTTTTTACTTAGAATCCATGAAAAGCGAAAAGATAGACAAAGACTTGGCCAATGTTAGTCTAATTAATGCTTAAAATGTTTGAGAACGGTAAATGGCCATACACCGACCCACTCTATATCCGGTAGCCTAACAGTCTGCACCAAGAGTAAAAGTAATCAAAAACCGGGGTTTTTCTGTTTTGATCCAACTGAGACAAATCTAACAATCGCGGCATGCAACCAAGATTCACTTAAAAAGAAGGGTAACAGCTGAGCAATACTGGAAGCCAGTTTTTTGGTTTTGGCAACTTTTTGGCATTCTCACTTTTCCAACTCGATTTCTATTTTCATGACTTGTTTCGATTGAACTTCACACCGAAGGACTGATTAGCAGAGCGAAGTAGAAAATGGTGGGAAGATCCAGTGTCCCAAATGAAGTAAATTCAGGCAGTTCTAAACCTCTTATCAACAAAAACAAACTTGTAGCGTGCAGCGACGAAGTTGAAGGCATCAGACTGTGAACCCAAGAGAAGTCCCGGAGATCAGTGGAGTAAAAATGGGACTTTTTGCCTTGGTGAACATCGCAAATCGTAGGAATCCTTGTCTAAAATAACCAATTTGTTAAACAGTAGCATATAGACAAGATTTTCAGAGTGAAAACTGTAGTCACATTAAAGAGTTCATTAACTGTGTGAAAATCTGAGTGATTAAAAATCTCATAGTTTTAGGTACTGCCAGTTGTGCTGCTGTAGTGCAAATTTTAAAGCATCCATTTTTTTGGGAAGAAAGTGATCGCTAGAGAAAAAACTATTCGAAAATTTGTAACTAATACAAGCAAAATCAAAAAAAACATTTTACAGCAAATGGAAATTACATACCAATAGGAAACTATTATGTTGAGACAACTAAAATTCAACGAAGTCGCACATTAAACAGACCCTTGAAGATATTTATTGCCTTTAAAACAGTTGAAGTAACAATGATATTTCACATGTTTTATTAAAACAACAATTATTAAGCTAAACTTGAATATATGCTGAAAAAAGAAATCTTTAATTACTTCACTCTGTTGCTTCGTCATTACTTTCTGCTGTGGCATAGTGGAAGAAGGCCCTGCTTCACCGACCAAATTCAAATCCTGCAAAAAAGTATGTAGACTGGCTAAATAATAAAAGTCTTTCGCTGCAATTTATGATTTGTGATTCGGATATCTTTATCGCTAACATTTCGTAATTGAACAGAAGGTATAGTGTCCTTATTCATAATTTAAGGGTCATATATTTTCCTTTTCACCAGCTTTTTTTTACTTTAAATAAGGATTCGTTTTTTTCGGACTAAGAATGCGAACTGATTCACCTCCAAAATTATTTGCGCAGAGATATATGCATGCGACTTGTCCTATGACTTTTATGAACTAGTTAGGAACAAGGATCATACATCTCCAATAGGATTCTTCATCAGATGTCACCACTCTGTTTTCAAAAGATAACACGCTTTGTCAATGAAACATAGTATTTGTAACGTTCTAATGAACTAAATTTGAAACGAAAATTTACTCCCAAGCAAATGATTTCGTCCGAAACATTTAATTCACTTGGCGAGCCACCATCAAGTAACACTATCTGTAAAAAGGACGAAAATATATTTGTATTATAAAAAAAATCCCGAACATTCCTGTCGAATAATGATTCTAACATAAGAAACATAAGTCCATCATAAGGTCCAAGATAAGTCCATCATTTAACATAAGTCCATCCTCAAAGAAGTGGCAACCTTTTTGCAAGTTCTAGAAATTAATAACTACACTTAAAAATTTGAAGTATTAAAAATGAACCTCGGGTTTATCATCGCTTAAATTCTTTTGTATGCTAACTGAACTTTCTTCATCTGCTAATAAAATAACATCTAAATCTGCAGCATCCCTGAAAAGTAACGCGATCCTTAATTTGCCGGTATTTTTAATTAAAAACAAGATACACAAAAAAAGAAGGAATGATAAGTTTAGTGATATTAGATGGAAGAAACGAACCTCTTTTCTGTTTCATCTCCAACATTCCATTTTTGAACACTGAACAATTGCGCCTCCCGGTTTGTTTTACTGCTCATCTGGAATTACTACGACATGAAATAGTTTTCTACAAAATTCGACATTAATAACTTAATGAGTTTTAGAAATGGAAATGACCAGATAAAGCCGAAAAAGCCAGGGTGAGTCAATAAACGCCAAGTAAAATGAGATATTGCATGCTGCTGATTAAAAGTTCAGCCAAGTTAATAACAGACGAATCTAGAACAATCCTAAAATCACAAAAATGTGGAGGTAGCTTCAACCAGTGTACAACTTGGTCCATAAATCAAAAATGTAAGACGAATGGTCATTGAGTGGTACTGGAATCGAATATTCTTCGCATAAAAATTTCGAAATAAAACAGTTATTAAAGACATAAATGATCCTTACATTTGCTAGACAAATATGAATTAAGTAACTAAAACGAAAAAAAAAAGAAATGAATGCCGTACTTCCGTCGATGTATCATCTACCACAATTTCTATTTTCTCCTTCGGCACTGAAAAATATTACCGCTTTCATAAATCTTCAATCGATTATCTAAACATCAAATTGTAGTGTAGACTTAAAATATATCTTCTAAGGGTTCCTATACATGACATAACCAGTTCATTTTATGACATACCCAACAATTGGAAGACGTTGAACGAAGTAGGTTTCTGATTTTGAAATATTCGGAGTGATCGTGATACGGATTTTCGTGATCTGGCAGCACTGAAAGCACGAGTAAACTTTTTAGATGTATTTCGGAAGAGTAGATCTTTTGTTGAATTTTTTACTAATGGAAACTGCCCTGAAATGCTTCACAACCAAAAAAAAAAAAAAAAACATAGAAATAAGCTGTACAAAGACATTGCTGGACTCTCTAAAATACTCTCGCATACCTTTAGCAGAAAACAATTTCCATTACCGTCATAAATTATACAAATTTATGAAACAGTTTACATTCCAGATACTCTATCACTGTAATTAGGAAATATCTGATAGGTGTAAAAGACGAGCAATGCTTCTCTACAATTTAAAGAGAGTAAGGATTTTCATAACTTCCTCTCATATCCAACCATTTTTTCCCTTTTCCTTGTGAAGCAACAAAGAAAACATTTCTCATTAATAAATCAATGCAAAAATGACGTTAATTACAACGATGAAATCATTCTACAACAAAAACTTAGTGATAACTATATTCTTCCTTTCTCTCTCTCCTCCTCATTCCCGAGTTTGAAGTCAATAAAAAGTATCAAAGATCCTGGTAATTACCTCCATCTACTTTTCTTCCTTCCCGATGATCTTTTCACTTTCTTAGAACAACGATTCATCTCTTCTTTTCCAATACATCCGAGTTGCTTTAATTGAACTGAATGGAAATCAACATAAATCAACTATGGAATGTACGTGTGGTAATTGAACTGAAATGAATGACAATCATTTATTATTCAGGATATCAACTAAGATTTCTATTCAATTGCAATATTAAACATATATATCCCTTGATAGATCATATTAATCGTATTTATATCTACTTCTCGTAGACACTGCTGCAAATATATTGTATGTCCGAATTATCAACAGTATCTAGTCCCTTTTATTTTCGCATTATTTAGCGAATTTGCAAAACTTCTTTTGATTTATAAATCATCTCAGATAAGAGAGACAGCATACGTTATGGGAACGTTAGTGCCTGTCGAGAAATCAAAAACGATCATTTTCAGATTGCTGACAATGCCTGACATCCCGAATCTCATTTATCTCCCATCCAATATCTCGCATCTTCTACCTGCTGTTGTCAATCAATAAACATATATAATATATTGAATAGAAGTGAATGATCAGACCACCGAGACTTTCAATCACCTATTTTTGTTCTTATTCTACTGCCCAACAGTCATAATTCTAAAAATTGACGAGAAAAAAGACATCGATAACCGACTAAAGTTTCGAGACCATACTTTTTGAATTGCAGCACAGTAGATATTTTCTAAAATTTCCCATAGCAAATCTTTTCCGGGATCTTCCCCAGATATTTTCTATAATTTTCTATAATGGATAATCTCTGGAATTTCTCATAGTGGATATTTTCTGAAATTTTCCATAGTGAATATTTTTTGGAATTTTACATAATAGATTTTTTCTCGGATTTTCCATAGATGTTTTCTGAAATTTTCCATAGCAGAATTTTTTTGAATTTTCCGTAGTAGATATTTCCTGGAATTTTCCATGGTAGATATTTCCTGGAATTTTCCATGGTAGATATTTCCTGGAATTTTCCATGGTAGATATTTCCTGGAATTTTCC